AGATGAATGGGCATTTGAGTATTTCTACGTGAACCACAACGTCAGCGAACCCCTAAGACAGTTAATTAATGATACTTGTGCGAGGAATAAGGACCTTACGTTCAAGGCGAGAGTGCTGACAATGTGGAGTGTCCTCGAGAGCTACTCGGACGGCACTGACGAGATGTCATTGGTGAAGCGATGGGAAGCCTTGGGTTGCGGCTCTGAGGGAGCAAAGGGGCTGGAGACCTTCGTGTCCAAATTGGAAGGCCTTCGAGATCAGCTGTCCGAAGTTCGGGGAGCTCCTGTCTCGGATCTAGAGGCGAGGGCTCGACTGTATATGGGACTACCTCGGGACGGGCAACTACATGTAGATCGCTTGCCGAGATTGTCAGTGGCGACATACAGAGACATGCTCCGAGAGTGCAAGTCCTGGGCTCAGCTTACCTTGAGATATGGGGTAGAGAGTCTTGGGATGAGATCGATGGCACCACTGAAGTTACCTACCAAAGATCACACCGGCCCTAAGAAAAGCCAAACCGGAGCCCATTTGGCCGAGTTGCACAACGCGGAGATCGACAGTAGGGCGAGAGCCCAGGTGTATGTTAGCGGCCTACCCTTCCATTGGACCTTTCGAGAGACGAAGGGTTTGATCGGTGAGCTCTCTGGCGACTTGTCGGTGTATGTTACCATGTTGCCCAGGAAGGGCACTGCCATCGTAAAGCTCAAGACCGATGTTGAAGCTGAGAGAGTGATACAATTATTGAACGGCAAGCAGATTGGTGGGCGGGTTGTGTTGGCTAAGCACGATAAGTTCGCGTAAAAGACGGTTGATAGCAATCCACATTGTGGATTCCACAGGTCAATCTGAGTGAGGCACAGCAGAGAGTGTGCCAGTTAGACGACTCCTCATCGGAGGAGAGTAGTAGCTCGGCGGAATGTCATATCCTTGCAGTCGAGACCGGCGTTCTTGATGATAGCCATTGGGCGAATACCTCTTTGGAGGAGAGACTATCGAGTCAACAGTGTCAAGAGCGAATCGTACCGGATATTTTGGCGTTAGGCCAGACCAGCAAGGGTGTCGAGTCCGTTGAGGCTAAGAGCTTCGAGAGCAACATTGAGAACATCGAGAGTAAGAGCTTCGAGAGCAACATCGAGAACATCGAGAGTAAGAGCTTCGAGAGCAATATTGAGAACATCGAGAGTAAGAGCTTCGAGAGCAACATCGAGAACATCGAGAGTAAGAGCTTTGAGAGCAACATCGAGAACGTCGAGAGTGAGAGCGCTGAGAGCAACATCGAGAACGTCGAGGAAGCCTACGGCGATATTGAGGTTGAGAACATCGAGAGCTGCA